TCAATGCGAGTCTTTGCTGTGACTGGTAGACAACATGGACAGACAGAGTCCAGATCCAAGTTGATTAATCCCAGGAAGCCAGCCATAGCTTTACGGTGGAGTATTGGATAATCCCAACAAGCCTGAACCTTTAGTTCCACTGAAGTTCAGGGTGCTTTCTGGTTGTAAGGCTGGTACCAGATTTGTTCAGCCTGCAACAATCCTTGTGCCTCTTGCTGGCTTGAACTTGGCTCCCTGACCTCCTGCTGACTTGAATTCAGCAGCCTTTCCCTGAGATTTGGAGCTGCTAGATGGAGCTGGCCTGCCTTTTTTCCTGAGTTCTGAGTTCATTTGGACTCTTTCCAAGATGGTTACCAGCCAGTCACCCTCTCCTGGGGGACATCTAAACCTGAATAACTCACCAGCTCCTGCTGTGTCCACTACTTGTTCCACTGGTGCGTTTTCTCCATGAAGGTCTCTGGAGTTGCCAGTTGTCACCGTGCAGATGCAGGTTCAACTCATGCATTAAGTCTGGGATCAGGGAGAAAGTGCTGCCTGCCACCTCCTTCTTCATTGACATCTTTCTCTTGCTCTCCCTGTGGGGCTTCAATTTTGGATTCAGATCCTTCCTGGATCCCCAGGATTTACTTCCTTTTGGCTTCTCTTCCTCACATTGCTATATTCCAGTTTCTGGACACCAAATACCGGAGCAGCTGTTTCTCTGCTGCTTATCACTTGGCCTTCTTCCACGAAGTCAGCCAGCCATACTCTCAAATGAGATAAATCTGACACACATGTTTACATACCACATTGATTCTCTGGTGTGAGAAGCTGAAAGTGGAAATAAGGACCAAAATGTATGATAGATATTGGGAAATGGGACAAAAATGTTCCAATGAGAAAGGGAACAGGGGAATAGGAAGGTGGAGGGAAAGAAGGGACAAGGGAAAAAAAGAAAATAGGAGGAAAAAATGGCCACAAAGTTTTTGTAAATAATGAATCAAAAGAGTGTAGGAAAAAAAGGAGAAGCAAGATATATTTTGTACAAGTACCAATTCCCTGTGATGAATGTTATCATTTTGTATATCTAACATGTACCAATAAATATTTTCCTTCAAAAAAAAGAACCAAATTCAGTAATGTAGCAGGATATAAAATCAACATACAAAGATCAAGAGCATTCCTCTACATTCAATAATGAATCCACTGAGAAAAAAATTAGGAAAAAAATACCATTCACAGTAGCACCATGGAAAATGAAGTAAAAGACCTCTACAACAAAAATTTCAGTGCTCTGAAAAAGGAAATTGAAGAAGAAATGAGAAAATGGAATGATATCCCATTCCTAGATAGGCAGAACCAGTAGTCAAAAGGCTATACTTCCAAAATTGATACACTAATTTAACACAGTCCTAGTCAAAATACTAAACACATTCTTCACAGAACTTGAGAAAAAAAAGTCCTAAAATTCCCAACCAGAAGAGACCCAGAATACCAGAAGCAATCCTGACTAACAAGAGCAAAGCAGTAGGCATGATAATTTCGGACTTGAAATTATATTAAAAGGCTACAGTGATTAAAAAAAAAAAAAGAGCATGTTGGCACAAAAACAGACAGTGGGGATCAATGGAACAGAATAGAGGATGCAGAAACAACCCCAAGTACATCAAACTATTTGAACTTTGGGCCGGGGATTTAGCTTAGTGGTTCTGCCGCCTGCCTTGCAAGCGCAAGGACCTGAGTTTGATCCCTGGTACCAAAAAACAAAAACTATTTGAACTTTGACACAACGGGGCCAAAAACATACACTGGAGGAAAGATAGCCTTTTTAAGATTGGTGTTGGGAAAGCTGGCTATTCACACACAGAAGACTGAATCTAGACCTGTATCTCTCACCATGTACGGAACCAAAATAAAAATGGATTAAAGAACTAAATGATAAAACTGAGACATTTAATCTGCTGCAAGACAAAGTATGTAAAATTCTTGAAGTGATAGGCATAGGAAAGGACTTTATGAACAGAACCCTGATTGCACAGGAAATAGTACTGAGAATCAAATGGGATCATATCAAATTAAAAAGCTGTGCATAGGGCCGGGGATTTAGCTCAGTGGTTCCAGCGCCTGCCTCGCAAGCACAAGGTCCTAAGTTTGATCCCCGGTACCAAAAAAAACAACAAAAAAAAGCTGTGCATAGCAAAAGAAATAACCAATGGAATAAAAAAACCTACAGAATGGGAAAATTTTCTTTGGCTAGCTGTTCCTTGGACAGAGGACTAATAATCTAAGATATATAAAAAATTTTTAAAAATTAGAATCCACCCCAAAATAAAAGACCCAATCAAAAAATGGACAAGTGAAATAGATACTTAGCAGAAGAAGCACTAATGTCCAATAAATACATGAAGAAAATGCAGCCTCACTGGCCAATAGAGAAATGCAGATTAAATCAGATGCAATTCCGTCTTACCCCAGAAAGAATAGCCATCATCAAGAAATCAAATGATAACAAGTGCTGGTGTGGCTGCAGGGTAATGGAACCCTTCTATGTTGTTGATGAGAATTTAAACTAGTACAACCCTATGTAAATCAGTGTGCAGGTTGCTCAAAAAACTGAAACTAGAAATCCCATTTGACCCAGCTATTCCCCTCCCCTCCAGTTATCTTCCTAAAAGAGTTAAAGATACATATTATAGTGATATATACATACTCAAGTTGGTTTTTTTAGTTGTGTTTGTTTGTTTGTTTTGGTTTTTTGAGTTTTTTGAGGCAGGCTCTCCCTTGGTAGTTCAGGCTGGCCCTGAACTCACTATGTAGCCCAAGTTGGCCTTGATCTCACATCATCCTCCTGCCTTAGCTTTCCGAGTGCTGGGATTCTATGTATGTGCCAACATACTCGGCTTACATACCCATGTTTATAGCAGTACAATTCATAATAGCTAAATCTTTTTTTTTTTTGGTACTGGGAATCCAACTCAGATCCTTGCGTTTGCAAGGCAGGCAGCAGAACCACTGAGCTAAATCCCCAGCCCCCATAATAGCTAAATCTTGCAAGCAGTCTATGTGTCTGTGAACAGATGGATGGATAAATAAAAATGGTATTTACACTCGCTGGAGTACTACTCTGCCGTAAAGAAGGATAAACTTGAGTCACTAGTAGGAAAATGGCTGCACCTTCAGACCATAATGTTAAGGAAATAAATCAGACAAATACATTTATATATAGCATGGTTTCTCTTGTCTGAGAAATCTAAATTATAAATGAAGAGTAAAATAAAAGATAAATAATAGGAAAGTAGGGAGATATATCTTTCTCAAATGGAAAAGGCATCAAGAGTCTGGTGGGGGGCAGGAGGGAGGAGAGTGAAAGGGAATGAAAAGAGGTATTAAGATCTGTACAAACTCCACACAAGGAATGTAAACATTATGTGCTATAAACATGTATAATAAAAAGAAATAAAAACCATTTTTGTGAAAATGAAAAAAAAGAGGTAGTCAACGACTACATTATATGGTCTAAGTACAGCAAGTATGAGGCAGAGATTGTCAAACTGGATTAAAAAAGCTGTAATATTTATAAAAAATACAGGCAGTTGAAAGCAGAAGGTTGGAAAAACACCTGGTATAGAAAGAGTAAGCATGACAAAACTGGCCTCATTGTATTAATTTCAGGGAACTGGATTTCAAGGAAAAGAATGGTCTTCTTGGAATTATTGTCACCTCATATTCTTCTTCCTTCAGTCTTCTGCTCTTCCTTGTAGTATAAGACCGCTGTCTTTACCAAAAGCTCTGAGGAGCTGACTATAGTGAAGCACACCCAGGGATCCCAGCGGTGCCTCCAGAATGTAAGACCAAAGGCCTTACCAAATGCTCCAAGGAGCTGGAGTGGAGCACACCCAGGGATACCAGCGGTGCCTCCAGAATGTAAGACCAAAGGCCTTACCAAATGCTCCAAGGAGCTGGAGTGGAGCACACCCAGGGATACCAGCGGTGCCTCCAGAATGTAAGACCAAAGGCCTTACCAAATGCTCCAAGGAGCTGGAGTGGAGCACACCCAGGGATACCAGCGGTGCCTCCAGAATGTAAGACCAAAGGCCTTACCAAATGCTCCAAGGAGCTGACTGCAGCGAAGAACACCCGGGAAGGAACACACCGGACAAGTTGGAAAGTGAAACAGACCTTAGTCTGGCCAGACGGCACTCCCAAAGCAAAGTAGCTTAGAGAGGCGTAGTCCAGAGTCCGAGGCTCTTTTTATAGGGGCTTGCAGGGGAATTAACAGGCGAAATTTACAGAAGAAGGAACAAAGGTTTATTGGTCTTACATTTGTATGTTAATTAGCCTGACATGTACTGTTAGTCAGCAGATGCTTTGTAGATTGGTCTATAGATAGTGGTGTCTGGAACAAAGGGTTGGATAATTATGACTGATAGGGATCTTATCTAGTGTCAGGACTAAGAAGCATCTTTATCTATTTACTCACATTCAATCACAGGTGGGGCTAGGGGAGTTTTATGATTACTGAGTTATGCAGTCTTACAGTAGTTTTAGCTTTTACTTCACCCCAGATCCAGGGTTGTGGGCTCAGATAACATTCTTTATTTCTCTAGTCATTATATTTTCCCCTTGTGTTCAAAGTATTTATCTGACTCCTATATTGTACTTTTAGCACATGGCATCATCCCTGATGCACATTAAGTTCTCAAAAGACATTAATTTTTTTGTTTGTTTATTTTTGGTACCGGGATCGAACTTGGGACCTTGTGCTTGTGTGGCAGGCGCTGGAACCACTGAGCTAAATTCCTGGCCCTCAAAAGACATTAATTGAATGAATGTATAAATGTATGCAGAATGACTTAATTGCTGAGTTCAAAATGTGTTTAAAAGACTATAGGTACATTTGGAAATGTTTATAACTGTCAAAAATGATGGAGAGTTTACAGAGCTCATCAGAAAGTGGGAAAAATAAAAATGCATGTATTCTGTGTGAACTTAATGAATAATTTTCCATTTTCCTACCATAGACCTGAGTTGGTAGTCAAGAAGCTTCGATATTATGCAAGGTTTATAGTAGTTTGTCTTCTTCTCAACAAAATGGATGTTGTGAAGGATCTGGTAAAGGTAAATGTACTTTAAAATAATTAAAATTCTAATCTCTAGCTGTATATGCATAATTTTGTGGGTTGGGTTTGTTTTTGTTTTTTAGCAGTATTGGGCATCTAACCTAAGGGTGCTCTACCCAACTGAGCTCTTCTTATCTTTTGAGATAGGGTCCCCCTAAGTTCCCCTGGCTGGCCTAGAATTTGTAACCTTAGTGCTCAGCCTCCTAGTAGACTGCATTATGGGTATGGACCACCACACCTGGTGATAATTTTGTCTTTTAAAAACTAGATTTTAGCCAGGTGCGGTGGTACATGCCTGTTAATTCCAACACTCAGGAGGTTGAGGCAGGAGGATCTCAGTGAGCTTGATGCCAGCCTGGGTTACATAGTGAGTTTAAGGACGCCAGCTGGAACTATGTAGGGAGTCCCTGTCTCAAAAAACAAAACAACTGGGCCGAGGATTTAGCTCAGTGGTTCCATCACCTGCTTTGCAAGCACAGGTGAGTTTGATCCCCATTACCAAAAACAACTACAGCAACAAAAAGTAGCTTTTAGGTTGGCACGGTGGCATACAAGCCTGTAATCCTAGCACTCTGGGAGGCTGAGACAGGAGGATAGAAAGTTCCAGCCCAGGCTGGGCAGTTTAGTGACTTAGCAGGACCCTGTCTCAAAATAAAAAATGGTTTAGGGTATAGCTCAGTGCAAAGGGCCCTGGGTTCAATCCTAGTACATTTTTTTTAAGTTAAATTTTGTCTATTTTTTTGTTTAGTTTTGTTTTTTCTGGTTCTAAACATCAAATCCAGGGTCTTGTACATGCTAAACACATGTTCTACCGTGAGCTACACCCTATGTCCTAAAACAATCTTGATATATCTAAGTAGTTATAACATTTAAAATATAACCTCTGACAGGCCAGGGATTTATTTAGCTCAGTGGTTCCAGTGCCTGCCGCTCAAGCGCAAGGTCCTGAGTTTGATCCCCGGTACCGAAAAAAAGAAAAAGTGTGTGTGTGTGTGTGTGTGTGTGCGTGTGTGCGTGTGTGCGTGTGTGCGTGTGTGCGTGTGTGTGTGTGTGTGTGTGCGCGCGCGCGCCGGGGATTTAGCTCAGTGGTTTTGCCACTCAAGCACAAGGACCCGAGTTCGATCCCCAGTACCAAAAAATATATATATGTATATATAACCTCTGACAAGGTTAATGATGAAAAAATTTCCCAATTTTTTAAATATTTCAAACACACACTCCTTATAACAATTATCTTAATTGCCTGCTTTGTACCTTCAGCATGGTTTGCATTTTATAGTGCATCAATGGCTGACTGAGAAATGCAAACAAAAGTTAGAATCCTTAATTCAGGAGGAAATGAGTGAAAAGTTAGATTAAGAAAAAATATATATTTTACAAAAGTATTGTGAATGAAGTTTAGTATTTCTATCAGAGAACCTGTATCATTCTGTCCTTCATTCACTCAGGGACTTAATTTTTCAGAATATGCTCCATATCTGATTGTTTCAGGCTAAATTCTGGTTGCACTGTCGACCCAGTGGTTTTCATGGAATACTTAATATTTGCTGCTCAGGTGAGACCTACTAGTTTTCACAAGCTCACTGGAAGTAGCCTTCTGCACACTTTCTCTGTATTCTTCTACTCCCATTCACCAAGATGAGTGTTTCTCAAACATAGTATGATATAAATCCAAAGAAAGTTAGGAAGTATTTCTTTTGTTCACATGTTAAGATTTTGGTGAAATGGAAATCAAAACCACATTGAGATTCTATCACTACAGTCAGAATGACTATCCCCAATAATACAAAAAATAATACATGCTGGCGAGGATACAGGGAGAAAGTTCTACACTGCTGAGAGGGCCATGTATTAGTACAGCCACTGTGAAAAACAATATAGGGGTTCCTTAAAAAGAACATAGAGCTGGGCCAGGGATTTAGCTCAGTGGTTCTGGTGCCTGCCTTGCAAGCACAATACGAGTTTGATCCCTGGTACCAAAACAAAACAAAAAGAACATAGAGCTACCATTTGATCTCGCTATGCATTCCTTGCTATATACCCAGAGTAATTAAAGTCAGCATACTGTAAGGATACCTGCATGTTTATGTTTATTCAGGTATAATTCAGAATAGCCAAGGACCAGGGATTTAGCTCAGTGGTGCTGCCACCTGCCTCACAAGCACAAGGTCCTGAGTTTGATCCCCAGTACCAAAAAAAAAACCCAGAATAGCCAAGATATGGACCAGCCCAGGTACCCACCAACAGATGAATGGATAAAGAAAATGTTTCATACACCATATAGAACTACTCAGCCATAAAGAACAAAATCATGTCCATTTCAGAAAAATGGATCTGGAAATCATTATGTTCGGCAAAATAAGCCAGAACCAGAAAGACAAATATCACATGTTCTCCCTAATATGTGGAATCTAAAAAAGATGACAAGAGGGCCGGGGATTTAGCTCAGTGGTTCTGCCACCTACCTCGCAAGCACAAGGTCCGGAGTTCGATCCCTTTACCAAAAATAAAAAAGATGACAAGAAAATAGGGTTATTATTATTAGACAATAGGAAGAGAATAAAGAGGGGTAGGGAGGGACTTTTTATTAATAAATTCACTGCTAATCTTACTTGATGCATGTCATTCTGACATTTATTTTGAAACAAATCCATGTAGGTCTCATTCTTTGCTGTTCAGTTATAAGGACTGGGTGTTGGGAGGCTGAGTAAGAAAGATCAAAAGTTTGAGCTCAGCTTGGGTACCTTATCAATTTTGTGAGACCCTGTCTCAGAATTTAAAAAGGACTAAGGATGTGACTAAGTGCAAAATCCTGGGTTCAGTCTATAGTACCAGAATAAAAAAAACCTTAATTTTACCAATTTTTGTCAAGAATGTGACAGTATAGATGTGTATTCCTGTGATTTTTAAAATATAACCTTTCTTTATGATATTTTAAAATTAGGAATTATCAGATGAAATTGAGGATTACACACACCGTTTCAATACTGAAGATCAAGTGGAATGGAACTTGGTGCTCCAAGAAGTAGCAGCTTTCATCGAGGTCAGTGTTTAAGCAGTTTTTAATCCATAAATACAACAGACATTTTGGTATTTTTGGCCACTGGAAAACAAAAGCTGTAGCATCAAGAAAGGTCTGAGATGTCTCACTTTTGTAGATTCTATTCAGTGTATTTAAGGTTAGATAAAGTAAACATCAAAATTTTTAAGGATAGGGCTGGGGATTTAGCTCAGTGGTTCTGCTTCCTGCCCTGCAAGCACAAGGACCTGAGTTCAGTCCCCAGTACCAAAAAAAAATGTTTTTTAAGGATAGGCAAAAATTCACACACACACACACAAAAACTCCTTATTTTTCTATTTAGAGTAACAGTAGGCAATATGATTCCAGAAGTTAAAAAATATTTCACAACCTATGACTTCAGCTTGGAAAATAACTTTAGTTCCAAAACTGATTCATCCCTAATAAAATGTAAGCCCTGAAAAAAAGAATGTGTCTGTGTATGTAGACAGTATTTTAAAGGAATCATAATCTCTGAAGCAGCCTTAGTTTTCTTTAAATTGATCTGGAAAGGACCATTGTATTAGCTTCATGGAAAGAATTAGCTGGCCTCTTGGTCTAAGGCTAACATGGTGATCATTTGTCTAAGGCCAGAAAGGTACCAACATTATGTAAACCACAAGGAGAGGAGGAGATGAGGGCTTTCCCTGGCAGTTAGCTAAAACTGAAAAGATTCTTATAAAATGACACAGTGGCAGCCTTTCTTGTCTTTCTCTTTGCGTGTTGGTTCTGGTGAAGGAGGACATTCTTGCTTTGAAATTTCCTTATTACCCGAACAAGTTCATGGAAAGCTTGATCTACATTCATCCTAATCTTTGCTGACGCCTCCATGTATGTTACCTTAAGTTACTGTGCTAGTTAGTTGTCCTTCCTCCTGTGTCACCTGCCTTTGATGATCCAGGTCCACTTTATTACCAATTAAAATCTTTGGAAACTCATCGCCATCCTTTACTCTTAAGAATCTGTCTTTAGGGGCCAGGGACTTAGCTCAGTGGTTCCACCGCCTGCCTCGCAAGCCCAAGGACCCGAGTTCGATCTCCGGTACCAAAAAAAAAAGAATCTGTCTTTGAAACTTACAGATTTCCGGCCGGGGATTTAGCTCAGTGGTTCCTGCGCCTGCCGTCCAAGCGCAAGGTCCAGAGTTCGTTTCCCGGTACCAAAAAAAAAAAGGAATAGAACTTAAAGATTTCAACAAAACTGCCTCTATCTGTGACTGCAAAGACCAACAAGAAGCCTTCACCGGTCCTCATAATACTGTTCTCTCATGACTCCAAACTATTCTTGTCCAGCTTTATCCAAAATATCTAGCCGGGCTGCTGTCATCTATCACACATTGCTCTGTATAGGAATCTTCAATGGTTGGATTGTAATCTGTTACAAAATAGGACTGGATGAAGTGGATGGTGAGCGCCGACTTGCCTCCGCCTACCAGCCCACCAGCCCACCACCATGAGCCAGTACTTCTCCTGGCCTGAGCGGTCCCGCCAGTGGCCCAGCTGCACCGCCACCACCGCCACCACCTCCACCACCTCCACCACCCCAGGCCCAGCCTGGGGGACATGTGCGACCAGGGCGGGCACCTGGGCCTGCGGAGAGGGCCAGACGCACAGCAGCGCAGGCCAGACTTGGGCAGAGCACTGCCCAAGGTGCGGCGTCAGGGGCGGCAGTGGCCAGGAGCTCTTCTCTGCGCTTCTCCACAGCCCCTGCTGCCAGGCAGCCTCCAGCACCACTGAGGAGTATCTTGTTATATGGTAATTTTTGTTTTTCTGGTAACTTCTTGCTTTTCTCTTTAGGCGGACCCTGTAATGGTGTTAAATGATGATAATACCATTGTTATCACTTCTAATCGCCTTGCTGAAACAGGAGCCCCATTGCTGGAGCAGGGCATGATTGTGGGACAGTTGTCTCTGGCTGATGCACTCATTATTGGTAATTGTAATAATCAGGTAAAGAATTGTGAGAAATTTATGCTTAAACTTCACTTTGAAAAAGTTTTGATTATCACAGAATTCTTTCCTTGTAAATATCCTAATAACAATCTCTGAGGAAATTATTAATTAAATATGCCATGTCCATCTATGGAATATCTTACAGACTTTTAAGTGGTTTAGAAAGAATTTTTAACAACATAGGAAGATATTTATGATAATGTTAGTGAAAATAAACTTGCACTGGAGATATGTAAACAGAATTATTTCATGTATTAGAACATCTATACACATGTGTGCACAGGAAAAAAATCAGCAATAAATTCATGAAAGTCTGAAAGGCTTTTTCCTGAATATCACAATTACAAGTGATTTTTAGCCAGACTCCCAGCACTCTGATAGGGTGAATCAAGAAGATAAAAAATTTGAGCCCAGGGCTGGGGATTGCTCAGTGATTCTGCCGCCTGGCCTGCCTTGCAAGCACAAGAACCCGAGTCCAACATCCCCACCCCCACCCCGATACCAAAAACAAGCAAACAAAAATTTGAGCCCAGCCTGGGGAACTTAGTGACTTCATTAGACTCTGTCTCCTAAAAAAAGAAAAGGGCTAGGTATATAGCTCAGTGCAAAGACCCTTGAGTTAAATCCCTAATACCACAAAAAAAAAAAAAAAAATTTTTTTTTTTTCTTCTTGGCAACCTTCTAAACTTTCCACAAGTTGTATATACTTTTCCAGTCAGGCAAAAAGGGAGAAGGTGTTTTAAAGTACAGTTGTCAAAATTTTTCATGACAAAACTATCACATGATGATGAAGATTTAATCCGCTGGAAACTGCTGTTGGGATGGTTACTGTTTATATGTGTTAATACAAATTTCAATTTTGGATCCTATCCTAGTACCTATCATGTTTGTTATTAAAATTTTCTAGTAGTCCTGTATTTTTTTTTACTCTTACAGCCATTAATTTTCTAATTTCTAAATTAAAACATTTTGAAATTATATGTATAAATTAAGTGCACAGATTTTAAAACATGCATTATTTTTTACTTATATTTTTCTAAAGATTCAGTATTTTTCCCACTTTTTTTATATTCAAAGAAAATTTTACTAATCACAATATATAAATTTAAACCAAATAAGATATTACCCACCTGAATGACTAAAAACAAAACTATGAAACTTAATATAAGCTTGTAGCAAGCTTGTAGAAAAGATGGATATCTCATACCTTGTTGATAGATTAGTGAAGCCATATATTCACTTCAGAAAAGTATTCGGCCTTATCTTTGCATGGCTGATTGTATGCACACCCTTTGACTAAGTAGTTCCAATAGTTTCTTATTGATTCTAAGAGTTTCTAAAATAGTATGCGTAAAGGTCCTTTATTAGCTTTATGTATTGAAATATCTTATAGTGTGTGGCTTGTCTTATATTCTGTCTTTTTTTCTACATTATTTAAAATGTTAATTGAGTGTCTGCTATGTACCAGACCCTATTGCAGATATTGGGATTCTAGTGAATAGAAATCTTCAATTTTATTGTAGCCCAATTTATAAAGTTTTTCTTTTCCAGCTCAGGCTGGTGTTGAACTCACTCTGTAGCTGGCCTCAAACCCACAGTGATCCTCCCAACTCAGCCTCCTGAGTGCTGGGAATACAGGTGTGCACCACCACACCTGGTTAATCTTTTTCCTTCCATATAAGGAAGGAATATATCCTATTTTGAAAAACCGTTGCCTACTGCATGGTCGTGAAAATAATCTACCCCCCCCCCGACTGGCCTTTATTACTTTACCTTTCACATTTAGATCTGTAGTCCATCTGTATTTTTGTTTTATTTTGGTGCGAAGTATAAGTCAAAATTTCCGTGTGAATTTTTTCTTTTTTGGTACCGGGGACAGGACCTTGCACTTGTGAGCAAGGGGTGGTGCCACTGAGCTAAATCCCCAACCCTCCATGTGAATTTTAATAGACCTAGTACCAGTTTCTAAATAGATTATCTTTTTTTCTAGCACCCTATATTGTCACCTTTATCGTAAATTTGTGCCCATACATGTTTGAGTCTGATTCTGTTTCTTTAGTCCATGTGTTCATTAGGCACACTGCCACCATGCCCAGATCAAGTGTAGTTTTACTTGTATATATCATGCTCAAGAGTCACAGAGTTTCACCTGGGTGTGGTGGCACATGCCTGTAATCCCAGCACTTGGGGAGGCTAAGGCAGGAGGTTCCCCTTGAGTTTGAGCCCAGCCTGGGCTACATAGTAAGTTTAAGGCCAGCGTACAGTACAAAGTGAGACCCTCTCCCAAAAAAAACAAACAAAAAATTTCAGAGTTTCTTGAATCTATAGGTTGATGTCTTTCATCTACTTTGAAATATAATTATTGCATCTCTAAATACTGTTTCTCTGTTCATTCTTTCCTCTGCTTTTGAAACCCCATTTACATGTCTGTAGAATTTTTCAGTGTCACTTGCATCTGTTACTCTTTTTTTGTCTAGTCCTGAGTTTTTCTTTCTAGATTTGTTAGTCTTTTTCCACTAATTTCCTTCCATTTCATTAATTTTGCCCTCCCTCCTATGTATCCAATCTGCAATTAATATTTTTATTAAGTTTCAAATTTCACCTATTGTCTTTAGTAGTTCCTTATTTTTCCATTTGATTCTCTTTTATACATTTTAATTTTTCTAGGAGGTTAGTAAAGCTCACTTATGTGTGGATCTGGTTAGGTCAAGGAGGCATGACTGAGAGTACTATACCTGGTCCCTAGCCCCTTCCTTTCCTGCACTCTTACCTTACTCTGCTTCCCAGCCACTATGAACTAAACAGCTTCACTCTGCCACATCCTTTTGCCTTGAGTTTTCTGCCTTGGAGCCAGCCAGTCATGGACTGAAACCTCTGAAACCATCAGCCAAATAAACCTCCTTTAATTTGCAGCTTTCAGATATTTTGTCCAGCAATAGGAAAGATAATACACTAAGTTCCCCATTTTTTCATTTGAATTCTAACATCTCTTTCAATTTTTTTTTTATCATATTTGACGGTTACTTTAAAAATCCTTTTCTGGGGCTGAGGATTTAGCTCAGTGGCCCAAGGTCCTGAGTTTGATCCCTGGTACCAAAAAAAAATCCTTTTCTGTTAACTACTCAGTCTCGATACTTGCAGTTCTGTTCTAGTGTTTTTTATCCCTCAGTTTTGAAATTCATTCATATTGTCTTGATTCATTGTTTGCTTGCCAACTAATGATTGAATCCCTGGCAATGTGCATTTAGAATTATAAACTCCAGGGTGATGTGCCAAGTCCTATATTCAGCCCCCTGTGTCTTAGTTATTTTCTCATTGCTAGGACAAAATATCCTACATCCACAACTCTAAGAAGAATATGTTTATTCTATTTTACAGTTTCAGTGGGCTCAGTCCATGGTCAGCAGGCTCCAAGGCTGGCAGACTTCAAGGCAGAAATGGCCTGGCAGAACAGAATGGCAGAGAAAAGCTACACCTCATGGTGGCCAGGAAGCAGAGAGAGCAGGGAGGAGCCAGGGAGGCAGATAAGCCCTTCCAATTCATGCCCCCAGTGACCTGCCTCTTACCAGGCCCCATCTCCTAACAGCAAGTCAGCTATGAACTCATCACTGGACCAATCCAATGACAAGTATAGCCCCTGCATGATCTAGTCACCTTCCAAACACATGAGACCTTGGGGGACATTTTAGATCTAAACCACAACACACATAATTTAAGGAGGGTTTATGTTGGCTTACGGTTTCACAGGATTTTAGACTGTAGTCAGCTGGCTCCTAAACAGAAAAGGTATGGTAGAGGTTCTGGTGGAGACAGCTGCTCATATCATGGTAACCAGGAAGCAGAGAGGGAGAAGGGAGGAGCTGGGGATAAGAATGCACCCTTCAGGCAATGCCCCAGGTGATTCTTCTCTTCCAAGGAGGCCCACCTCTTTACGGTACATGCAGGTGTGAACTCAGTGGATTATCCACTGATGAGTATAGCACCTTCCACAAGCCCCGCCTCTCAATACATAAGACCTTTGGGAAGGATTTTAGATCCTATCCATAACATGTATGTATATTCCAGATGAGATTATCCTTCTAGAGCCAGAGTTTACCCTTCAAATCAGTCCCAATCTGAATTTAACACAGTGCCTGTTTTGGTGAAGATTAGCCCGTCTGTCCTTCCCCTGTTATTAGGCCCTGGTTTTACAGAACCTTTGGTTGTTTTATATGTTCTTCAAGATGCTGTCCTTCTAGTGGGTTAGGGACCTTGATCTTGGTTTCTCAGCCCCACCATACGAAACCAGTCCATTTTCCCTTTAAGTGGTGTTTGGTTTGTCTCTTGAGTCTCCTGCCCTGTGCACATTTGGACTCTTACAAATGTGTTTGGGGAAAACCAATCTGTGCTTTGGACCTGCCTCTTTGTGTCAGTCTGTCTGACCCTGAAGACCACTACTGGTTTCTCTGTCCCCTTAATGGCACCCTCTTCCCACGCAAAGCTGGGAATCTTGCCTTTTAAAATAGCTACTTCCAGAGACAAGTGGTCACCTGCAGATGGTTGTGCTTCCTCTTTTTTGGTACCGGGGATCGAACTCAGGACCTTGTGCTTGCGAGGCAGGCAGTGGCACCACTGAGCTAAATCCCCGACCCTTCCTATTTCCTTTTTTATACCTTTTAATTCACCCTCCTTGTTCTAAGCTATGTTATTGATTAATTTCATTTGGCTTTTAGCTTCATTTGTTGTATTTTTTAATTTTAAAAGTACTATATTATTTCCCACATATTCTTTTGATAGCCTTCATCATGATTTTGCTAGTTTCTTTTATTTATTTAAACATATGAAACGTTTTTTTACATTTTTATTTTTGAGCCAGTTTTGCTATATAGTTCAGATTGGCCTTGAACTCACTATCCCAGGCTGGCCTTCAACTCACAGTGATCCTCCTGCCTCAGCCTCTCGAATGCTGGGATTACCTGGGATTACCGGCGTGTGCTACAACACCCACCTTTTTAAAATGTTTTATGTCATGTCTTTATAGTTCTACTTGATTTATTGTTTCTGTTAACTTTCTTTTATGTGTTTTATGGTTTTTGGTTTTGAATTTTTCTTATTGTGATTCTATCACCTGGACTTCCTTGAGACCTGAATTAAAATTCTTCCATTGAGCATCTGCATTTACTTTCAGTCAAAACTTGGAAGGATGATTAGTTTTTGTTTGCTTTGTCTGTCTCTCTGAAGCACATTCATTTGTAGTGGACTCTTTCTGAGGCCATATCTTTTTGTACTGCTTGCTTTATGCCTACCTACCTCCCTAACCCTTTTGTGTCTTAGCTTCTGAGAAAATCTCTTGCTCTTACAAATTCCTCTCTACATTTCTAAAGTAAGTGTTGCAGGATAGTTAACTTTTCTCTTGCTGAAGTGGAAGCCTTGTTTTTTGTGCTTTGTTAGAAGGATGGGTGTTTTGTTTCCTTACATGAAAATATGACTGATGATGCTAATCTTTAGTGACTCACAGTGAGAGACTCTGAGTTCAGCAGATTATTCCTTCATTCAATCAATATTTATTGAGTGCTAGTCTTGTCTGAGGCTTGGGGGATGAAAAGGATTAACAAAAGAGAAGAAAAAGTGCCTTCTCTAATGGAACTTACCATAGAAGCATGAAGACAGACATTAACCAAATAACCACTTAGATTAATACCAAATATCCACTTCAACAAACGTGATAGGGCCGGGGATTTAGCTCAGTGGTGCTGCTGCCTTCCTCACAAGTGCAAGGTCCCAAGTTCAATCCCCAGTACCCCCCCCAAAAAATGTGATAAAGGGAGATATATGTGTTTAAATGCCTGTCATCAAAGGATTTGACCTGTTGTGGGATGTCATTGAAAGTTTTCCTGAGAATAGTGCTTGAGCTAAAAGTAGAAAGACTGTTGTCAAGAGCAGAGTGTGCCTGGCAGCAGGAGGAGCATGTGGCATGGTCTTGAGGGCACAGGGGTGTGCTGAATACGAGGCAGTGAGCTCAGACACTGATTGAGGGCATGCTGACCAGAACTGAGAGAACAAGGGAAATGCAGGAGCAGGAGACCTAGGTAAAGCTGGACTGAGAGGGCCTGATATGACACACTTAGCAACTTGTCAGTATCCTGAGTGCATAGGATCTGCTCAAAGGGAGGAAAATAATGAAGCCTTATTATGAGATCATTTTGATTGTACTTGTACAGAATGGATTGGAACCAAAATGGGGGTGGCAGAGCAGTTAGGAAATTGTTGTGATAATCTTGGTTTGTGGTTAAAATACTAAATGGGTGGTGATGATAAAGGGGCAGTGAGATTGGTTTCAAAAGATATGTAGAAGATACAACCAGTAGCATTTGGTATCTGACTAGACTTGGAAAGAAAAGAGTAGATTTCAGGCGTGACTTCTGGTTTCTAGGTTGTGTGTGATACAGATAACTGTTCTGATGAGAAGTAATGCTGTCTTGAAACATTAAGCAGAAGGGTCAGAAATTCCCACCTTTGTAACTTCAGTGTGTGAAGTAAAATTTTTGCTTAATCCACTTAAACAGATAATAACTAGGGCATGGGATGGATGTATAGCTCAGTAGTAGAGCACTTGTCTAGCATATGCAAGGCCTTGGGTTCAATTAACAACACCATCAAAACAAAATAAAGTTAAATGTTCTAAACTCTAGTGAACAGTCATCATAAAACAGATTCTTTCATTAAGTAAAGAATTCCTCTTTCCCAGGTATGGTGGTACATGTCTGCAATCCCAGCCACGTGAGAGGCTGAGACAGGAGAATCACAAGTTCAAGCCTTTCCTGGGCCTCTTAGTATGACTCTGTCTTAAAATGAAAAATAGAAAGGCCTGGGGTGGAACTCAGTTCCCCATACTGGGGGAAAATCTCTTATATTTCACAGAAATAGGTACTTTGAAGGTCTCGCTATGTAGTCCAGGCTGCATTGAACTTACTGTGTAGCCCAGGCTAGCCTCAAACTCTAAGTAATCCTCCTGCCTCAGCCTTCCCGGTGCTGGGATTACAGGCGTGTGCCACTGTGCCCAGCCAGAAACAGATACTTTAAAATACTCTCCTCTTTGTTGTTTTTTCCCCCATTGCTGAGGATTGAACTCAAGGTCTTTACATGCGGTTACCTACATAGCCCTTTATTTTTTTATTTTAAGACAGGCTCTCACTAAGTTGCTAAATTGCCCAGACTGAGCTGAAACTTTGCAATCTTCCTGTTTTAGCCTCCCAGAATTCTAAGATTACAGGTGTGCTTCATCATACCTACTCTGTTTTATCCTCAAGTATATACCTGAAATTCCATATAAATATTATTGAAAATGGAAAGGGATGCAGTGTTAGCTCAGTGTGGTGGTGCACACCTGTAATCCCAGCACTTTTGAGAGGCTAAGGCAGGAGGATTGGAAGTTCAAGCACAGCCTGGGCAACTTAGGGATAAACTATCTCAAAAAAAATAAAGAGCCAACCATGTTGCCTGCCTGAAATCCCAGCACTCAAGAGACTGAGGAAGGAGGATTGCCATGAGTTTGAAGCCAGCCTGGGACACATAGTGAGACACTGTGAGGGGGAGGGCAGGAAGGGAGAGGGAGAGAGAGGGAAGGAGGGAGGGAGGGAGGGGAGGGAGAGAGAAACAGGTGGGGAAGGAGAGGGAAAAGGGGAGATGAGGGATGCAGGGAGAGGGGGGTGAGAGGCAGAGAGAAAGAAGAGAGGGAGGGAGGGGGGAGAGAGAGAGAGACAGACAGACAGACAGACACACACACACACACACACGCACACACTGGAACTGTGTATGTAGCTCAGTGAAAAAGCCTGGGGTTTAATCCCTAATTCCTGAGGCAAGGTAAAGAGAGAAAGGAAAGGATACAGTCTTACATATTTTGTAGTGTCAGTGAAGAAATCGATGAATCATTATAAGTATGGATGGAGAGATTTGATGAAGCATAAAAATTGTTAATTATAGAATCTAGATGTACATGAGTGTCACCACAGAGTTCTTTCACCCTTTCTAGTTTGTTTTAGTTTTTATAATGCAGTGTTAAGAAATAGGATATGCACTGTCATTAAGTATACACAGAAGTCAAGAGTAATGGTATGATTTAAGATCACCAGGTCTATGTTCTGCGTTGATGGCTGGGTTTGTCTTTCTTGCAGGTTAAGTTCAGTGAACTAACCGTTGACATGTTCCGGATGTTACAAGCCCTGGAAAGGGAGCCAATGAACTTAGCCTCTCAGATGAACAAGCCAGGAATGCAGGTGATCTGCTCCCTGTATTTGCTAAGGTGGTAACACTGTTGGTGCTTCTGCTCCTCACTGGGTACAAGATGTTGTTCAACAAATGCTAGGAAATGTGAACAAAGAACTCCTGATTGGACATGGAGAAATGAATAAGCATAATCACAGTAACACTTAGGAAAAGAAGGGTACATGGTAGGGAAGAAAAAGTAGGCATTAATAATTTGTCTGTCAAACATGGCTTGTATGTGTATTGTTTTCTGTGTGTAAAAATAGGAATCTGCTGACAAACCTACCAGACGAGAAAACCCCCATAAATACCTGCTCTACAAACCGACCTTCAGCCAACTGTACACATTCTTAGCAGCATCTTTTAAGGTATGAGTGATCTAGTACTTCTTACTAGGTGCAGAAAGTGTACTGTAAGACGAATCTAAGTTACTCTTCTCTGAATATCTGAATTAAGAGTTTGGGTAAAATACAAAAATGAAAACATACCTTTAGAATAACAATCCTAACATGGCAATTTTTGGGATGAAAATTGTTTATGTTGTCGCATATGATTCCCACCATGAATTAAAGAGAATACTGATTAATTTTTTTTGGTACCAGGGATCGAACTCAGGTCCTTCTTGCACTTGTGAGGCAGGTGGCGGAACCACTGAGCTAAGTCCCCGGGCCCCGATTATTATTCTCCTTACTCCAGGTTTTTATTACTAAATTACTTCAAATGTAATGAATGGTCAATGTAGATCTGAAAAACAAGAGAAGAGTGCATAGCATGTCATATAGTCAGGCAGCTCTATGAAACATCTTGATCATCTGAAAGAATGATGAGAAATAGGCGCATTCTCCCCAAAGCTTCGGGGAAGTTTGTCTTTTAGACCTATAATCTGGATCTTCAGTTCTCCATTTCAAGTTTATAGAGAACATTCTCTAAATGTTGGGGATTTGAACCAGAGAACATCTTTACAGCTTTTGGCAGTCCTTGTACATTACAAATTAATAAGGAACTTTTGCTATGCAGGTAGTTTTAAGCCAGAACTACCAAGGGCAGCTCTTCCCTCGGAAAAACTACAGTATGTTAAGTTCTTGTTTTACCCACAACTTTAAATGTCCTGACCTTTAAATATAAATATGCTGTTTTTCCCTGTTTTTTATTTTGTATATGTGATTTTCTTTAATTCCAGGAGCTGCCTGCCAATAGTGTGCTTCTGATCTACCTGTCAGCCACTGGAGTTTTCCCCACAGGTCGTTCTGATAGTGAAGGTACAATAAAGGAATGCTCCCTGTTGTGAGCAGGGCTTGAATTTTTCTGTTTTCTACAAGACAATGGCCCTTAGCTCACAGACCATCTCGGGCTTTCTACAAAGGCTTCCAAATTTAAAACCTGGTCTATCATTGAGTTGACAATCTTGCAGATATCACAGTCCATTTTATATACTGAAATACTATACTTTGAGGCCCACAGATCATTAGAAAATTCATATATTAAATGCATGATTCACTGTCAGATTTGCCCAAAGCATCATGTGGAATTTGATGTTTTAAGTTGAAAAGGATGACGGATAACCAAGCCTAATTATTTATTTCACATCAGTAAATTTTTCTGAGTCTTTATTGTATTATGTCTTTGTAGAAATCAGTGTACTTTTGTAACTGTGAAAGTTCAAGTCCTTGTTATGATGTTGTTTTTAGTTTGAATTCAGTCTGTAGAACATTGGGATGCTGTTTCAGAATAAAATCTTAAAATTGTCCAAAATGTATGAGTTCAAAAATTGGTCAGAATAAATGAGTAACTTAGATTTAAATAAGTCAATTAAATCTTTGGGGGAAATTTTTTTCTTAACATTTTTAACATTTTCCTACTCATCTGTTTGTTGAAATCTGCATTCCTTTATAAAGTGCATGCCCGTGCCATCTTCCTTGCATGACCTACAGATTCTCTTAAAATGTGAAAACAAAAACAAAACAGAATAAATCTATAGTCTGTCATTATTGTGATATTTTAAAGGAAGATAATACTTTTCTTTTACTTTTAACACAGTTTTTGGTGTGTAATAAAGCTAATAGTTTTATTTATAAATAATTATTTCCATGTCTTATATACTGGGAAATCAGGTTTTTCTGTGTCTCTGCTTAACATATTGACATCTTCTTTTACTTTTTCAAAATACAATAGGTAATAACTGAATGATCCTTTAAGAGAAATTATTCAGACATGCCAATTTGCTGTCCCACTTAGACAAGAGTTGCCTAATTCATATGACCAGTGGGAAAAACAGCTAACTTCTAAACCAGAACTAAAGTGGCTGATATACTAGTAATAATAATGGATTCTTCACACACTGAAATTTGGCAGTATCTTTTGTAAAAAGGAAGTTTATGACAATGAGAATTTTTCAAATACCATTCAAATAGCTCCCTAAATTTTATAATTAGTGGCTCATTTAAAATTACATTTATTTTAAGAGATTAAGATTTCAGTCTGCAACTGTCTTTTTAAAATAATGTAGTAGGGGCCCAGGATTTAGCTCAGTGGTTCTGGCGCCTGCCTCGAAAGCGCAAGGTCCCGAGTTTGATCCCTGGTACCAAAAAAATAAATAAATAAAATAATGTAGTAAACCAGAAATTTAAATTTTTCTTGAAATGGAAAAGTCCTTTTGAACATACCAGATCTCTGTTCCATTAATCTGGATGCATGATCTCCATCCATCCCTAAAAGGGATGTAATAGATTCTTGTTTTGTTTCTCATTATATTCTGTTTGAAGCACTAGTGAATAAATGATTTTTTAAAAAGAAGTTGATACTGGCAGCATGCTGAAATCATTTAAATACTGTATTAAATTAAAATTTTAAAACAATTTAATTTGCTTTGTAATTATCTTTTACTGTACCAGTGAGAGAGTCACACAATACTTTTGCATCTGAACATCAGGTCAGAGTTACCCTCCGGTTGAAGTCTAGGATTCTTCCATTTGTTTTTATAGGTCCTTATGATTTTGGAGGTGTACTTACTAATAGTAACCGAGATATTATAAATGGAGATGCTATCCACAAACGAAATCAATCCCAGAAGGAAATGCATTGGTATGTATTTTGGCACCTCTCCTCATTATAAAAATGGTAGCTCTCTATTTTACAATATTAAGTGAAATGGGAACTTTTTTCCTGATACTAGAAAGGTTCCTTTGACTACTATTATTAATATTTACTTGGATTCTAGCAATATTTAGGCCCTATTTTATTGAGTATCCATTATAGTCAGATACTGTTCAATTATTGAGGTTATAACAGTGAGCAAAACTGTGTTCTAGTTGAAGGAGACAATAAATATATACATAAATAAATGTCTTAGGTCATGATACATGTTAAGATTAATAAGAACTTTTTTTGGATAGTGGTGGTGCTGTGGATCAAACCTAGGCCTCATACATGTCAGCCAAGTGCTCTACTATTTGAGTTGCATCCTCAGCCCATTGTGAACTTTTTAATGTAAGAATCTTTGGCTTTATATAGCACAAATGAACTTAGTTGTTTGATTTCAAATAGAATTTCATCTATGAAATTGCTTCTATTTCTAAGCAGAGTTCCTTTGCAGCTTACACCATTGTTGGCTATAGAATTTTTCTAGCTGAAAGAAAATGCAATCTGATATAAAGATAAATAAACTTGACCAAAATTCCACTTCTAATAATAGTTTACATTAAAAGGTCAACTGTTGGGCCAGGGATTTAGCTCAGTGGTTCCGCTGCCTGCCTTGCAAGTGCAAGGACCCGAGTTCAATCCCCTGTACCAAAAAAAAAAAAAGGTCAACTGTTTATGTTAAAGAATGGGGAAGGGAGGGCTGGGGATTTAGCTCAGTGGTTTTGCCTCCTGCTGCGCAAGTGCAAGGATCCGAGTTTGATCCCTGGTACCCAAAAAAAAACAGAACAGGGAAGGGAGACCAATCAGGTAGATATTTCAGATTTTGCATATAATAGCTACAGGTCCTCTAAGACACTTTTTGGTGCTGTTGTTGACATTGTTTTAATTTGTTTCTTACAAATACATAACAGGTGTACCAAAAGATGCTAAACAGAACTAATCATCAGGGAAATGCAAATTAAAACCATACTGCTTCTCACCTATGAGGGTTTTTATTATCAAAAAGACAAGAAATAACAAGTGTTGAGAGGACGTGGAGAGCAGGGCATTCTTGTAGACTGTTTATAACAGTGTAAGTTGGCATAGCTATTATAGAAAACTGTGGAAGCTCCTTAAAAAATAAAATACAATTATTATACAATCCAACAATGCCATTTCTGGATGTATATCCAAAGAAATGATAATATGTCACTCAGTAAAGTAAATATCAAAAGATATCTACACTCCCATATTCGCTGTACCATTATTCACAATAACCAAGATATAGGAACAACCTAAGTGTTCATTGTGGTACATGCATGCATCCTCACAAATCAGAATATTTTCCAGAGAAGAAAAGAGAAGGAAATCCTGTCATTTGTGATATGTATGAACCAGACAGAAAAAGATAAATACTGCTTGATTGCACTTATATAGAGAATTTTAAATACTCAAATTCATAGAAACAGAGTGGAAAGGTGCTTACCAGGGTCTGGGATTGGGGAAAATGGGGAGACTTGGGCAAAGGATATGACCTTTCAGTTATGCATAAGTTCTTGGGATCTGAAGTACAGTATTATGATAGTTAATAATATTAGATTGTTTACTTGAAATTTGCTAAAACTACTATCTTAGTTACTTTTCTTGTTGCTGAGACAAAGTACCCAACACCCACAAGATAAGGGAGAAAGGGTTTATTTTGACTCATAGTTTGTAGATGTTTCAGTTCATACTTGCCTAGTTCCAAGGCAGGGTGGCATGGCATAGGGGCATCCCAGAAAAGAAGCAATCCATGGTATGGCAGGCAGAAGGCTGCAGAAAGCAGCAAGCAACCAGCCTGCCTGCCTTTCCCTTTTTTCCCATGCAGGCTACCATCCTTTTGGGTGGTGCTATCTAGAACTAAGGCTAATTCCAATCAGTAGACTCATTTAGTACCACACATTCTTTCTCTTTCTTTTCTTTCATCTATCTATCTATTTATTTTTGCAGTATCAAGGATTGAACTCAGGACCTTGTGCTTGGCAGGCAGGTGTGGTGCCACTGAGCTACATTCCCAGCCCAGTACCACACATTCTTAATCCCATTGTCACACACTAAATCCCTCCAGCTCCAAAAAGCCCCACGTATGATCACCTGAGGCTTTGGGGGGACATTTAGATACCAGCCATAACAACCACCCTCACGCATAAACTTGCACAGAGGGTAAGTATGTGGGGAGGTGCACCATGTATTAATTTGATCACTGGGGATCACTGCACAATGTTTGTGTGTGGAATCATGGGGGACGCCTTGAATATGTAGTTTTTGTCATTAGAAAGAAAAAATATATGTGAAATATATTGAAGCTTGATATTGCTCAGTGAAACATCATTTCATATATTTATTTTACATTAATATTAATATTCAACTGGGGAGGATGCCAAAGCAGAAGGATTATGAGTTTGGGTCCAGTCTGGGCTACATGGCAAGTTCAGTACCCTGTCTCAAAAAAAAATTAGTTACACATAAACACATTGTCCATTAAGCCATGGGAAAGCACATGCTCAACAAAATACTGGCCTTCTACAGCAGTGGTTCTCAAATGCATGGTCCTGAACTTTAGCCTTTGGGGTCAGTAGATCTTCTGTGGACCAGTGAGTTTACTTGTCCAACAGCAGCTCAAGTGACTTTGATTCTAATGTCCAGAGGAAACATAAGGGATAATGGAAGTTGTTTTCCTCCTTACTGTCTATAATATTAACGTATAGCTTGAAATAAAAAATATTTAAAATAGGTTCAGAAAATGAGGACTCATTGAAATACAGATCTGAGTATGCTATTGTATCTTATTTTCTCAGCATTCTTAGAACTTTTAAATATGAAGCATATAGCTGTATTCTGACTTCTGAGCTTTTTTGCTGGACATTTAGTCATTTTTAGCTACATAGATTTCTCTTATTTATTCTTGAGAGCTTTTTGGAAGTTCTAGCAAGGGAGTATAGCTACTCGTATACCCTTGACTGAGGAAATGGTCTTCATCCATCAGGGGTGGCCGTCCTCTTTGAGGGAGGGTGCAGCTTTGGGAGGGGTGAGGAAAGAAGGGGACACCTGCCTAGCCAACCAGATGAGCTGAATCAACCCTGGTGATACATGGGGTGACAGATGTTGCATTGAGATCACCCTCACATCTGTATTTTTGAATAACAGTTGTCTCTGAACTTTTTGTTTTTCAACTAAAACCAACTTGACTGTCCCAGTAAATAGTCATGTTTTTGTTCTTTGCTTAATTAATCTTTGTTTTTCTCTCAGTGATCTGATGGAAAGAAACTATGAGCAGACCAAAGTGAAGAATAAGATTTCTGACACTTTAGCCACCATGGTCACATAATTCCTCATTGTTGTTGTTGCTGTTTCCTCAGCCTTCATCCTGGTGATCTCTACCCTTTCACAAGGAAGCCCCTGTTTATCATTGTGGATTCCTCCAACAGTGTTGCATACAAGGTGAGGGCTCTGAGAGCCGTGCACGTGCGGACTTCCTGGCACCACTCCAGGGGTACCCACTCTTAATGTGTGCTTTTTTATTTTGCTTTATTTTACAGTTTGTATTTAGTGTTCCTTTGCTTTTGAGGTTGTACATGCTAGTTAGAATCTGGTGCTAGGAATAGAAATGAGAAGAAAGCACATGAATTGACGTTCTGTAGAAAATAATAAATCCTCCTACAGCAAAAAAAAATTCAAAATTTCCAAGATCTCTGGCGGGAGGTTTATTTTTGTTATATAACCCAGAACAATGTCTTTTTGTAGAAGTAGAAACATATGAGAGAATTTTATTTTACAGTTTTCAAACATTTTCCTCTTCTGCACAATGAGCTACTATAGTTTAAGCGAAACTTCTTTTTGCTTTTTGAGACAAGGTCTAGCTGTGTAGCCCAAACTGGCCTCAAACACACAGTGATCCTTCTGCCTCAACCTCCTGAGTGCTGGGATTATAGGTGTGTGCCACCATACCCAGCTTAAGTGAAACTTCTATTTAATGTTACTCAGTGATAGTGTTTGAATATTGATATATTCTTTCTTTTTTCTTTTCAGATTTTTAAATGTCTTTATTAATGACAAATAAGTTGTCCATTGCTCTTTGCAATCTTTACTTACTGGTTTTCTAGACAAAGCTCACCTAGACACTTTGTAAGTTTGACAACATGTGGCTTTCCTTCTTGGCTCATGCTTGGTTGATGTCTTGAAAACAAACTATCTTGTTCATTCCAATATAAGCCAACATTAGTCATTCTTAACCATGTTGCTTCCCATCATGAAACCACTCATGGTTTCTGGTGGAATTCCAGGATAAGTGTCATAACCTATGCTGCCGCCACCACCTAGAGGTGGAAATTTCAGGCCTCTTGAGCTATATGGATCTCTCATGGTCAGTGTTCCTCTGCCACCCATTCTTGTTTCTCGCCCCCCCCCCCCCAGATCCATGTAGACCATCGGCTATAACTTTCCTCTGTTTGGCATCTTTCTTCTTCCATCTCATGTTGGCAAATCAACTCTTCCTCCCTTTGTTCCTTCTCTAATCTCAATTGTATTTCTTTATATTTCTGCCTGCCTGCCTGCCTGCCTGCCTGCCTGCCTTCCTTCCTTCCTTCCTTCCTTCCTTCCTTCCTTCTTGAGACAGAGTCTCACTCTGTAATTCAGGCTGGCCTTGAACTCACAGTGATCCTCCTACCTCAGCCTCCCATGTGGTGGGATTATAGGCATGTGCCACCACTCCCAGCTTTTGCATTTCTTTCTTTTTTTTTGGTACCGGGGATTGAACTCGGGTCCTTGTGCTTGCAAGGCAAGCGACAGAACCACTGAGCTAAATCCCCAGCCCCAAAGACAATTGTATACTTTTTTTGGTACAAGGGATTGAACTCGGGACCTTGCGCTTTCGAGGTAGGTGCTGGAACCACTGAGCTAAATCCCCGGCCCTTGCATTTCTTGACTGTGTACTTCCATGGGTCTTAATTCTTTGTGGTATCTCATCAAATCTTGATGCAAATGATTTGCCTGATACTCATGAGAGGCATCTTTCATTTCACTTTTCAGTTTATCTTTTGCATCCTTCATATTTTTTCAGCTTGTTTCATTCGTTGTTTCTCCATTTCATCAAAGAGTTTCCATTGCTGAGAATGTTCGTAATCAAATGTGCCATGCTGAGAAAAACAAAGTGGTATTTTCCTCTTCTTTGATACATTGGGCTCTTCTAGGTAATTTTCTCAGAAAGACCATCTTCATCATCCAGTTGTTCAAGTGGTTCCACAGTGACTGGCTGAGGAGATGTCAGTAGCAAAACACTTTCACTGGATCTTTCAAATGTTTCTCTTGCTGCTGCTCTAGAAGCAAGTTCAACAATGCCTTTTCCTGTAGCTCATCTATGATCATCCACAATTACAGTAGCCCTTTCAATAGGGCCAAACTGGCTGAACCGTTTTTCCAACAGTTCATGGGAAGCATAAGGTAAAAGGTTATGAACAGAGAGGGCTGCAGCAAGTGTAGCAAAATGAACTTGAAGCTGTGTACTTCTCAAGGGTGTGTCTTCAAGTTCAGCTTTGGCAATTCTGGCCAAGGTTCTAGGTTCAAATTTAATAAATTTGAATCCTTTGCCTTTATTGTTAAAAACCTCTCCTGGTTTTTCATATTTAGCAGTCTTTTGAATTCATCCTCTGCAGTATCAGCAGGTAGATTTCTAACAAAAACCTGATAAGACTGAGTATAAGTTTTCTGTCCAGGCCTCCTCAGGAGAGACAAGTTGCATTTAAACCCCTCCAAATCAAAGATGTTTTCCTTGCTGTGGCTGCCTGGGCCTATTCAGGGCTTTGGACCACCTGGCATCTTGCCACATGTGAGTGGCCCCACACTGCTCACAGTGGGAGGTTGCAGATCTACCTGGCCTGCATGGGAGTCAGAATACTATTTCATGTACACATAATTTTTAAAAAATTATGCCAATCCAGAAAAAGATAACACTGAATACATTGATTGCAAATATATGTTTTCCATTTTGTTTTCATGTTTAGTTTCACTTTTTAAAATTATACTCTAAGCCAGGCATGGTCGCACACACTTGTAATTCCAGCACTTGGGAGGCTGAGGCAAAAGGATCATCATGAGTTCAAGGTCAGACTGGGTAACATAGTGAGTCCAAGGCCAACCTGGTCTATTTAGCAAGACCTTGTCCCAAAATATTTTTATTTTAATTAGTTAATAAAATTTAATTTACCTCTGAATTCAAAGAACACCCAACCCACCTTAAATTTTTAAGAATATTTCCCGCTACCCATTTTCTCAGGTTTAATATTACAGGTTTTGATTTTTAGAAAATTAGCTGTACAGTATACTTTCTTAACTCGTGAATGTCTTTTTGTTGTGAGAGATGGGAGAGAATGAGAGGCTGCTGAAGGAAAAGGCTTATTGCTTACCCTTCTTAAACTTACAAAGACAGAGTGGGCAATGTGTGTCTTCACAGGACTCAGAGGAAGCATTCTGTGACTTGGTCAGTGAAAAACACTCATTGTTAGAGTTTGATGTTGGACATAATGTGTCGATATACTAGGTCACGTAAAATATATAATGTGACCTCATATGCATTTAAAGTATTTTATTTCTCTCAACTTGATTGGACATTACTGTATGCTACTTTTCATGTTATTAAGAATGTCATTCATTGTATATCTGTTATGTCCAGAGCACTATTTGAAAAGAGAATGAATATTAGATTCTGCTTCTTAAAAATACCATTGTGTGTAATTAGAAATTTACTTATTCAATTATCCATTATGATTTTTTCCCTTAAATTCTTTTATTGGTACATTTTAGGTATACAGTACATTTACATTTATCATTGGGAACTTGTACCTTTGCATGATGTATCTTGGTTCTTATTTTTTCCCCATTCCCTACCCTCCCTTCACCCCCTCCACCCTTCCCTATTTACAAAGACTTTGTTTCCATTTTTTC